TCAAAAAATAATAATAATAAATAAATAAAAATAAATAAATCAATAAATCAATAAAAAAATTAAAAAAATGAAATAAATAAATAAATAAATGAATAATTTAATTAATACATATATTAATTGATTATAATAGGCAATAAATAAACAAATATTGGAAAATGAATAAATAAGAATAAAAGAAAATAATTGTCAATTTTTTCTCCTCTCATATTGCAGAAACTGGACATTAAGTGGACAACACTGGGCACAGAGACTGATTTATCTGACCCCTCCTCCCAGCCCCATCCCTGTCTGCCCCACCCCTGAGCTGAAATGAAGGTGGAGGTGGTGAGAACCCCCAGGAAATGGAGCTGTCTCGTCATCAATGTCCACATCAACATGTTCCTGTATGCTACTTGCTGGGCCATACAGACTAATACACTGCCGGTGAGACTGGGTTTTTCTTTATGTAATTTGATTTTGATTATGTACATGTACCAGGTCTGTACCAGCTATTTCAAAAAGGTTGTTCTTTTTCTGAAAAAGTGGACCTTTTACCATGAAACCTTTGTGTACCTAGATTAAATTTTACCCAGAGGGGACCTTTTCTGAGCAAAAAGGGGGGTTGTTTTGACCCCCATGAACTCCCCTTGCTACAAGCCTGTGTACAGTGTACATATTTGTGTGACTGTACTGGTAGACTTTTAAATTCAGAAACATTGAACTCTGTTTTGAAACTAATGATTATTTCAGTGCATCTTGGCAATACAGTTTTACACACTGCTAGCAAGACTTGTCATGCATGTAGCTACAGTAGTATTTATTTAGACTTTGGTACATTAGTATTTCTGTGACAATACTGTTGTAGTAGGCTTTGAAATTCAGAAATTTCATTCTGTTTTGAATCTTGTTATTTCAGTGCATCTTGGTAAAACAGTCAAATACATCATCACCAATAAGGTTTGATTGTCACTATAATCTAATTCGATTATGGCTATGTACATATATACAACTAGTATGTGACAGTCATTATGCAGTTTGAAATTCAGAAATATTTTACTCTACTTTGAACCTCGTTATTCCAGTATCTCAGCAAGAACCTAGGAGCCGACCCTCTCATATTTGGCTACCTCCAGAGCACCTGTGGAGTAGCCCAGTTGTTTGGTGGAATTCTCTTTGGTAGATTTGGCGATGTGTTTGGGAGTAGAGTGGCCTTGACCTTGGCCTTTCTGGCAGCAGCCATGTATTACTTCATGCTGGGAGCTGCGTACTCACTGCCGATGTTGTTCGCCTCCAGTTTGCCAAGTCTTCTAATGCATTGTATGACAGGTGAGTTGATATGAAAGGAAAGAGATAAATACTTTTTTGCCAAAAAGATTACAAGAAAAAATAATAATAGTAATAATTATCATCATTATCACTGATGTTTTTAAAACAAAGATGTCAAGCTTCCAAGATACCTTATAATTATTGATTTGCTTATAAGAATTACATGGGTGAAAGTTTTCATGATTATGCCCGATTTCAGGATTTTAAGTCTTCATTTTGATTTTTTTTTTTCATATGGTCTTAATGAAATGAGAAATTCAGGATTTTCAATTTTTACAGCTTTTACACATGGATTTACTAGATAATTTCAAAGTTCTATTTTAAAGGTGGTCAGATGGTGATAACAGACCTCACTGACAGTGAGCGGAGAGCCGACGCCCTGGGAAAACTGTGGCTGTCGTACGGAATGGGGTCCGTTATTGGGCCATTCATTGGTGGTTTTGTAAACAAGCACTACAGGTAAACGACATGCTGACATTCTTTTGATTTGATTCTTTTGAGTGAGAGATTATGTTTAAGATTTACGAAGTGTATTAAGATAATGTGAAATAGCAGTATATTGATTATGCACAAAACTGTTGAAATTGATTGAATATCATTTTCTGTGCATTGCTTTTTATTTTAGAAATATAATCAATCACTTTTCAATCACTTATTTGAGTTAAAACTAACATCACATATTTTTTGAAATTCTTAATTACACATTATATTGAGTGTAGAGCCAAGGTCAGGTGACCTTAACTGTAAACTTCCTCCATTTTTTTATTATTCGGTTTCATACACAGCATAAAATGTGTCCTTGACACAAACAGTTCATTAATAACCAACAAGATGCAAATCAAAAAAATCATTAAGCTAGGGAAGGTGCAGTATACTATGGGGAAACCAGAACACAAAATACAGATTATTTTTTGCACCAGGACAATTCTAAATAATTGGAAAATGTCACTTTTTTTTTTTTTTTTTAATCAGTGAACAAACAGCTGCGTTTGTGGCGTGTGCAGGGTCAATGTTAAGCGTGGTCCTGGTGTGGTGTTTTGTTCCCCACAACACCAAAAAACTGGCACCAACTGCAGCTGAACTGGATGATGTGGAGCCAAGTGATCAAGACAAAGAGGCCGTAAAAGGTATGTGCATCAACATGGGTTTTCCCGGAGAGCTAGTCATCATTTGAACTGCCATTAGCCTCAAAAGACAGCCTATATTTCAAGAGATGGCTGGACGGCTTACAAAGTTTTTGGGTTGGTTGGGCTTGTTTGGACTGGACTCCCCGTAAATTGATGACCAAATTACAGATTCCCTGTGCCCCAAACCTGGTTCTTTTCTGTGTAAATTAAAACTGTAAGGTTCTGTATATATATATATATATATTAGGTAGCCTGCTTTCAGTTTTGCTGCTACCGCTCAATAGGAATGTTCTTATTTTAAGACTTCATGACTTTAAAAAACAGTATTTTTTAAAATTCACAATTTGTCCCATTGAAACGTTCAAGTCATTCATTACTGTAGTCAATGGTCAGTGAAATTAGGAATATATCACATAGATATACACTGTGCCAGTATTCATAAACAGGCATAGGAATGCACCAATCATAGATTTTATGATTCTTTTTAATATTTCAGAACCTCCTGAGAACAAAGGCAGCAGTGTTTGTGATATAAAAAAGCTTTTCCGCTTATTAACCATTCCTGATGTGGGGTTCTTTCTTGCAGTAAAAGCTTTATCAGGTTTGTATGTAACCTCTGTGAAATTTGTTACTTTGTAGGTGCATGGGCAAAACTTTTAGCAGTTTCTGTTTATAGCACTTTGTCCTTCTGTTATGTATGGTAAAATATTAAAAACATAAAAGGTGTGAGACACTGAAATAGCAGAATTTAATGCACCACTTCTTTTTGATTGCTTATCAGGTATACCACATTCAAATCTGTTCTCAGAATTACAATCTATAATCTGTTTTTGAGAACAACTTTGGATAGGATTTACCTTAATTGGTGGCAAAACAATAACTATTGAAATATTCAGAAAAACTGACATTTTTGCTACTCAGTAAACAAAGCAGGGATGATATATTTTGACTATTGGTAGATCTCTGACAAACCATTAATGTGTACTCTTAACACTTTCTTTTCTATGTTTTCTCAGGAATGCCGTATGCTGTATTCCAGTCCATGTTCCCAGTGGTGGCAATGACAGTGTTTAATTTACCTGCAGATAAAAATGGATATATTTTATCTTATCAGGCAGTTTTAACGATGGTAATGGTTTTGTGTAGCTACTTGTATACCTGTAGGATACATTTAAAAAGTAAAAGGAAAACCTAGATAATGAATACAACTACGTCTCTGTAAAGTTAACAGTATATGACAGTATGGCCCTGCCTCCACATGCGCCGTCGCTGCAGGGGCCTAGCAGTTAAACCTCGGAGCCAAGATCTAATCCTTTTAATAGCGTGTTTTGAGGTGGGGGACCATCAGGAATCTGCACCATCTCTTTTGAAGTGTGGTTGACCATATTTAGTTGGTGGATCAGTTAGTACTCGGATCATCTATTCTGAACGGGTCTTGTGCCTGACATATTTTTGGCCCTGATTTAGACTGGCTGTAGATGTTTTCACCTCCTTGGGGAGGATATACTCAACCTGCCATGTGAGATTTTCCATTGACTCTTGAGATTTTTCATTGACTCTCGTCTTATGATGATAAAATGTTTAACTTGTCTAAACAAGATGACTTCATTGAGTCAGTTATGTGACTAAGCCGCTTTGAGGAAGAGTCAAAAAGCCATGTCTCATAGGTAGAAAAGATGAATGCAGTCTCTTTAGAAATCTTTCTTGTATACGTTTTATTAATGTACTGTATTTTTTAACACAGATTTTGCACTTGATAATAGAATATACAGTATGTAAAATATATGATTCGAAGGTATAACAACAAATATTCTGTAAATGTTTTTTTTATTATTCCAGCTCTCTCAAGGGTTTGGGGTTGGGTTTCTGACATCAAGATTCAGTGACGGTGCCCTCCTCAAGTTCTGCTTTGTGATATTTACCTTGTCATATTTATTGATGGTGAGGACATCTTACAGGTTTTTCCTGCATATTTAAGCTGCCAGTTTTATTGGTCATGACTTACAAAACTTTCAAGACCAGTTGAACATTCTGCTCTGTCAGTAAGAAACATGAAAAGTCATTCAGTCTGGCAGATTTTTTTCATAACTGTTGAATGTCAGGCTGTTTTGAATAGAATAATCCACAGTCTCATTAAAATTATTTCAGAAAAGAAAAACATCGTATTATATATTACTTATTTAGAAAAACATCGTATCATATATTACTTAAATTTATAGCTTGTTTATTTGTAGAATAATGCTGTTAGATTTCTATGTCCATGATTGTACCTTATTTGTGAAATTGTAAATCATTCAAGACTTCTGACAGGCTCTGACTGATTGAACAGAATAATTCACAACCCTCTTACAATCATTTCAGAAAAAAAGAGCATCATTGTATGCTAATCATTGAAAGATTAATTAATGATAAATCAACCTTCAACTTGCAGGCTCTGGTTAAGGACGTGATCCTAGTGTGCATTGTGAGTACTCCACTGACCATAGGTGTGGCAGTTCTCGTGGTGACCACTACCAGTGAGATGACCAAAGTGATACCAGAAGCAGATACAGGTATTATAATAACATCTGTAACATAACGTTGTTTGCCTGACAATGCAGTTAGTGGTCTGCATGGAAAAAATCTATATGTATTATTCTAAATGTAACAGGGAAATGATCAAAGTGATACCAGGAGCAGACACAGATAATAACATCTGTAATGAAACATTGCTATTTGTTTAAGGATGCAGTTAGCCGTGTATGTCCATGATAGAAGGTGCATATCAGTAACTTTTTCAGTGCAACATATTGATAGCCATGTACCTTATTATCTCAAAACTTAAGTACTGGGGTAATTTATAGCAGTTAAATACAGCCCAAGTTTGAACATCGGTTTATTGGACCATTTTTTCCTTGCAGGCTCCATTCTTGGTCTGTCAATGGCTGTGGATTCTCTAGGTGGTATCATCTCCCCGACACTGGGCGGGTTCTTACTGAAGACCGTGGGGTTCTACGCCTTTGGATACCAAGGCTGCATCTGTAGCCTCTTGGTTGCCATTGCACTCTTTTGGAAGCTGAAGGATTAAGGCATATGTCATATATCTACCTGTCTGTCTGTCTGTCTGTCTGACTAGTATTTGTCATTTTAAAGTTACATTTGAATGTCTGTGGAGCGTGAGTTCCCAGTTACACATATAAACCACTTCTGTTAGTTTCTTATATGATTAAAATTAAGTTGACATGCCAAGGGATAAACCAAATTAATCACTGGATCAGCCATAAGAGAGTTTTAAACTGCCCATTCTAATTTTTGTTGTAAATTTGACCTACTTATCTGCCCCATTGGTATACAGCACAGAACGCAAGCAGAAAAATCAGTTCAAATTTTATTTTTGGGTTTTGGGTTCATATTAAAATATGAAACAATGTCTTATGGTATTTCTGGAAGTTATACTATTTGAAACTATATAGTGGCATTTGTTTGGCTTTTGTGGCAGAAATGACTTCAAAGTATTTTTAAGTATGTATGTGATGTGTGGTAGGATAGATAGATAGATAGATAGACAGATAGATAGATAGATATATACATTGAGAGAGATATGATTTTACACATTACACCATACAATATTGATTAGCTAGTTAACTAGTGCGATCAACCCTAATTTTGAAGAAATCACATTTTTTTTTGCACAAGTTTTTTAATGTAAAAAATATGGATAGGGTCTTGGTAAATTTACTATAATATTTGACCCTAGCATAAACCTTTTTTGTGCTCTAAGATTGCCCATATTGCACATTTAACATGCTCCTACCCCTTTTAAAAAAGTAATTAAAAGCTGCTGTGCTATACCTGCTAAATCATTTGTTCAAAAAAAAAAAAAGATAAAAAATACGTCTACCTGTTCTATTTACAGATAGTAACTGCTCTTTTATTTACCAGTTTATATATTTATTTTGTCTAGCCTAACATATATTATATATTGCATTTATAATTTATTTTAAAAATTGGTTGAAGCAGCTTTTATATAATTATTTAATTTGTTGGTCTTCAATGCAGTCATTGCAGCTCATAATATCAAAAAAATAGTAGCTTAAAGGTGCTAGTATTGTTTGCTTTGGTGCTTATACATGTACATAAACCTTTGTCATGCTCAGAATTACATCTAGGCTTTTGGCTCACTAAAATACACAAGACGTATTTTCCAGCCACTCATTGGCCTCGTTCAGAATAGGGGACTAACTAGTCCAATGGTCAAATATGGCCGACCCACTTGAATACTTCCCCACGGGATATCTGTGTAGCAGAATAGATAGCAAGCTTTGTAGTGGGTCAGCATATTTGACCCTCGGACCCCTAGTCCCCTATTCTGAATGGGGCCATACAGTAAGAATCTCTTAGTTCCTACAGCTGTGTGTATCAATTCACTGTGTTTAAAACTCAAAAATACTCTTTAAGTGTAACTTTTCAGTCCAAAGTTTTGTATAGGGCTAAGCCGTGTGAACATCAACGTATATTCTTTGTATTATCACTGCCCTTGAAATTGTGAAAATCAAGAGGAAGATAAAAGGGTGTATAAACATTTTACCTCATACATGCCGGTGCTAATAGCTTTTACATGTACAGCTTTTACATTATGGTTTCCTAAAAGGGAAAACAGGGAAAACTGAACAAATATGACTGTACATAAACAGGAAATTTGTCAATTAGCCCTTGGACAATAGGGACGTCTGAAAAATATGGCTGTTACAGTATATATGTTTGTTATTTATAAGTTTCATTTAATCTCTGTAGCTAGTGAAAATTAGGGGACACAAAAACAAATCTTGTTAAAAGTTTTCATGTTTTTAGTTTTTGATATGTTTATTGTTTTGTCAACTACTGTATAAGTAATGTCTGTCTCAGAAAGTTTTGTCTGCTCAAAGCAAAAGTATGTAACCGCCACGTGGCCTAAAGCTTTATGCACTTAAATCTCTGTCCTCTCTGCCACGTGGTATAGTCACGTGCTAGTCACGTGCTAGTCAAGTGACTCGAACTACAATATTAAGTGGGTGCCGGTTTCCCAAACGACTCTTAGTCGAAAGTTACTCTTAGTTTTAAGAAATGCATTGTTAATTTGAAACCAAGATACGTATAGGTCAGTCGCAATGTAATCCAGGAGTTAAGACAGTTGTTCAAATATTCATATTTGCAATGATCGTTCATAAGAACTCGTACGTGTATTTGTACACCCGCGTGAGGTGAAGGGTCAATAATAATATTTTATTACGTTATTGAATTCCATCATCTCTTTATTAACGATAAATGCTCCTAGTTATGGAGATTTTGTAATACTACTCCTACTTGCAGCTGTTAACTAACCTGACATTAAAAACCTACCAAAATTATTGTATTGCAGATTGTTTTTATTTATAATGTATTAGTTGTTCATTGACTGAGATCTTCGTTTGTTTGATCTCTCTCTCTCTCTCTCTCTCACGAGAAGAGGCTTTTGTCACATGAGATATAAGCCCACACTTTCGATGTCGGAAATCATGAAACACGAGTGTTTCTTTAAAAAAAAAGCCTGATGTTCGCTAACCAATTGCATCCTAAATAGGGTCTGATGAAAGGAATGCAACTCGGTCAGAAGGATGTGAGAGTGCAATTGCTCACTTTATCTCCACTATCACAATACTCCGTGCTTTGGTAGACGTTCATCTCAATCACAATGTTTTTGTGACGAAGCCATTACTATGACTTTCGCCAAGGACGTAATGTTTTTACCTTTGTTGGGTTACTTGTTTACAGTCTAACTCACAAAGTAATAGGCAGATTTCGATATCATTTTCAGGATAGGTCGGAAACGAGCTAAGAATGGAACATTTTTATGGTTGTCCATTAGTTAATTAATTCATTATTGTAATAATTATTATTACTATTTTTTATTATGTTTAGTTCTGTGATTGATTATTTTTGTAACTATGAAAATCAAACAAACTGACATTTATTGAAGAAGAGATATTTATTGAACATTCGACAAATAGGATATAGTAAAGGCAGCTTTTTTCTTTTAATTTCATATAAAAATTAATACATGTGATCTTATGATTATACCAAAAAGGCAATGGTTATCTTGAAGATTGGTTACACACAGTATATACACATAATCTTTCTTACTTGTCCAAATTTCGTATATGACACAAGTGTATAAATAACTAGAAAAGGCTAAAGAACTTTACTGCCTGTTCTTCTCTTTCCATCATCGAGATGAATGAGACAAAATACGTGTACTTCATTAAGGAATAGTGCCCCACTGCAAAGACTATGCTTTCCGATCTTCACGTAATGTATGACATTTATTTAATTAAATATCATTATTTTATTAATCATCATGGGGACAGGGTAGAAAATGGAAGCTCCTTATGAAATGCACCAAAGAAGAGGGACACAAACCGTGACGGGTATTATTCCATGAACATATTTCCAGCGCAAGTCACGAATCGATTTGTATATTCATACCGGATATTTATAACGTATGCATGTCTTTTTTCTCAAAATCAAATTATTAATCCATCTTGTCTTCCGAAAGACAGTGGCATCCATTTAATGTCCACATGCATACATATATTTATATCAGGCTTCCCGCCCCGAGTTTCAGAAAAAGCTAAAACCTGTACCGAAACGGGTAGAGGCACGTTGATAATTAAGGCGTTTCCAGTAACCTCTGGAACACAGGGTGTACCACTAATGAACCAGGCTAGATACATGTGGTACCCTGAGGTTCAGAGATTGCTGGTGACTTTAGAGACATGATGGCAAAAGAGAGAGAGAGAGAGAGAGAGAGAGAGAGAAGGGTTCCACCAATCGTTGACTGAAACTCGGGGTACTATCTTGTCTGGTTCGGTCATTGGGCCAGACTCTTTCTGAATTATTAATTTGAGCTTATGGTGCCGGATCCGAAGAGCAGAGGGCAGCTCCAATCAAAATACAACACGTTTCACGTGTTTTTACCTCCTGTCTCAATATTATGTTATTGGTCTCAATGTTATTTGGCATACGGCGCTAAATGCGTCCAATATTGAACACCATATCATTTTGGGTCAGAAGAGACGCCATTGTGGTGATCTTCAGGCCATCACCTAAATAATGTTGTTCGCAGGCACTCGTGTCCAATCATGGTGAGACATTGTTATTCTAGCCTAGAATCTAACATATGATGGATCCGAGTTCTAGCTATTGAAAAGGTACAACCTGTCATGGTGTCTTATGTCATGTGACATGGCAGACGCAGGGTTCACGTCTGTCACCTTTGCTGCCATAAAAAATAGTGTACGTTGGACTCTTTTGATGCTAGAAGGCAGTCACCCTAGACGCAGGTGCCAGGTTCGGTACATTTGCTGTTTTAAAAAGTGTAACCGTCTAACACCTCTAATGTCAGGAGACACGGGAAACACATTTTTGTCTGATCAATTTTCCTGCTGTGTCAAGAGATATCGCAGCGTCCCCAACCGGCGTTTTGTATGTAGTCCATTTGCTACAAACGCAGAATCTTTCAGGATCTTTCATCATTAAGCTCTTCATTACGCTGATCATACCATGTCATATCATGTGATATCGCCGACATTTAAGAACACGACATAAACATTAAACGCGTTCCACCTTTGTGTGATAGCGGTTCTTTATTTCCTCTTTTACCCAGAGTTAGCCCTGCGCCCTAAAGTTGTGGGTGTCAGAGCATGGAAATGTAACTGGAATAGGAAAAAATGAGATAGACGAATTAAATATCAGGTAAAGCGTGCGGGTTTAGACATGGAGCTTTCTGCATGTATGTCTCATTCGCATTTAAATAAATAAATAAATAAATAAATAAATAAAAAGACCAGATTTTTTCACTCCATCTTCCTTTTAGGTAGGACTACATGTACATCTGTGCAACAATAAAAAAAAATCAGCTATATGAAAGAAGCACCTTCAACAAATGTCTACATATTTATCTATCAAGTTATTATTAATAATAAATTAATCAAAAAGATATATAATAATAATAATAATAATAATAATAATAATAATAATAATAATAATAATAATAATAATAATAATAATGTTATAAATGTTACCATCTAAAATATTCCAATATATATATTTCATAGTGCTTCTATAAGTTCTGATATTTTAATAACAATCATTATTATTCATATAATAATAATTATTATTCTTTTTTTTCACACCTCGCTCACCTTGTCTGGTCTGTTAATGGTTACGTCACATGAAGTGGGACTGTTTCAGGCAGCCGCTCATTTTTGTTTCGCTGTAAGTAAAAGAAAAAAATTCCGTAGATAGAAAAAACGTATTTTATCGCTGTCGTCAGAAAAATGTTCAATTTTTGTTGCACTGCAAGACGTAATGTGATAAATATTGCATGTTTTAATCTGACCATGAAGTATTTTGTTAGAAACGGCTGTCGTCGTGAAAATGTATGAATAAATAAAACAAAAATGCAAATAGTGAATAACAGGAGCTAAAAAAACAAAAAGATGAAAGTTGTAAAGAAAGATAAATGCCTTATTTACAAAATCAATCAAATAGCAATCCAATCAAATATTAATTCAAATTGATAAATAAATCAAATAGATGAGTCCTCATAACTATGATCAAGTACATTTTAATATTAAATGAAAGAGTGACCGAGTGGCCAAGAAGGGGGATCGTTCAAATTTCCTCTGTTTAGTATCATTTTGCTTGAACAAAGACATTCACAATACAACAAAAGCGCGACGCGACGCATCTCGGTATACATGTCAATAGCACGTGTTGTGGAGCTAATCTGACTTCTGTATTAAGACTACCGGCTGTGTTTGGAGATCAGTAAACGCCACACCGGAGACCTGTTCCCCAAACAATTTCAACAAGCGGTTATAACTATCGATCCGTCATTCAAACACAGAGAGCTTAAAACGTCGATATGAAGTGCTGTCTCTTTCTCTGCTACGCTTCATAAAACAGAAGCTGATTATTCAGGATATTGCAAATACTGGTATAAAGAGCAATCCCTTTTGTTTGCTTGGGACTATTATGTTTGCTACTGTACGCAGATTACAAGTTAGGATATTGAATGCGTCGACATTAAGGGTTGCCTTTTCTCTGTTAAGACCACGTAAAATAGCAAATGACAGCTGAGGATGTTAGACTTGTTGACAGAAATCGCGTGCATTCCTCTTAGCGTGCACGCCATGCACCGCGGCACGGAGCACGTGCTATCTTATCTTTCTTAAGTTAAACTCGTGTGATACTTAAACTTGGTTATACTCAACCGTCTTCCTCAATTTCTTTGCAGATTCATTACTCACTGTACTTACTTTTTATGTAGCAACGTACAGATGTCATATTGCAACATCTTATTTAGCTTTCATCATGAAGATAGTAAACTATCCGCCTTCTTTTTCTTTGCCTTTTTTATTCGCATGGAGAAAGAACACTATAAAGAAGACTATATTTAATATAGCGTTTTTCATTGTCATATTCAATACATGCTATTTCTGCGTGGAGGCTGAATGTTGGGATGATAAAGCGTTCATCAGTAAAAAAATCACTTTCAGTAATGGGTGTTTTGTCAATAGTCATGATACACGCATGTCATGACACATATAGCATCATGGATCCATTAAAAAATATCGAATTGAAAAGGCCCCTAAAATGTGAATATTAAAAAGACAAAATGATATTCTATATACTGTCATGAAACAAAATTTGCACAGGTGATAATGTTTTATGATAATAAAACTTTGTAAAATGAATAATTATTTATTTTTATTTCCTGTCGCTATTTATCGGAACTCGCGCAAGGGTTAGACTGAGCATTTAGAAATGAAAATGTCAAAACTGAATTAGTCCTGAAACTGCTTGGAATAAACAGCCTTGTATTTCACCATGTAATCTTTACCTCTGCTTTTAAATGTGTTCTGGCCTGACGCTACGGTGGTACTGTACCCACTATAATCTCAATCAGAAGCGTGTATATGTACTCTATTACATTAACAGGTTTCATAAATCGCACTGGCATCGAAGTAAAATATTCATAACCATTACAAAAGCAATGGCTGTATAAAGGCTATGCATTGGAATACATGTACAGTATCACAAAACTGTGAAGATGCGCCATCGCACTAATAGGTATAGGCTCAGCCAGCCTAATAATGGAATAGATACGGGTGTCCATTATTGATATTCTCCATACCGCCTTTACTGCTTTCTACAATATAATGCAGATGAATTAGAATAATTGATACAAATTTTGTCGCCAAACGGACAGAGAGCATGCAATCACTAATGGGTTTGGGTAGCATCTGTGACTTTTGATCGACCTCAGTATTGATTCTGGTCATTATTTGGATGTAAGGCCCCATTCAGAATAGGGGAACAACAAGTCCGAGAGTCAAATATGGCCGACCTACTTGAATACTTCCCCTCGGGATATCTATTCAAAGTCTATTAGCGGATTACACGGCAAGCTTGGTAGTGGGTCGCCATATTTGACCCTCGGACTAGTTAGTCCCTTATTCTGAATGGAGCCTAAAAGAGCACTATAATTCTTCACTATGCTGACATATGCTGGTGAAAGCCACGTCACATTGTAGAATTGCCCCTGGAAGCTTTCTGTTGTTAAATATGAACAACTTAACATCGTTTTATTCTTTGTCATATATAATCATATGTAACTATTGTAAGTTCTGAATATACACTGTATCAGTGTGGCATTTTAATTACAAAAAAAAAAAAAAAAAAAAGCGCCATGAAACGAAGATGACAATAACAATATAATAAACCTGTAGCAATGTTGACATTATTGTAGAAAACTGTATCGTATTCAACAATATTTTCGGACAATTGTGCATATGCCGAACGATATTAGGCGCAACAATAAGGTGATACAATAAATGCGAGGCGGTGCAATACAACTTCAGTGCACTTTAACATTTTGTTTGACAATGTATGAAACAATGTAACCAACTGAGCTGCGTTACAAGCATATATCTTGGCAATCCGCAAAACAATGTATCAAACTTCTTTATAATATGAAGCAGAAAGCCTATGATGTTCAGACCATAAGTCGAGCGAAGCATTTTGGGTAACAAAAATCAATGCAAATGCAATGCAAAAATTTAAAATGAACTGCAATAGTATATACAATAGTTTGATACAATACTTAATGCAATGCCAAAAATTATAATGAACTACAATAGTATATACAATAGTTGATACAATAACTGCAATATATGAGACGTTCCTATGGCGTCATATTTTAATTATCACAAAATCTAAAGCAATACTTATAACTGCAAAGTGACTGCTACGTGACAGCAAGCAACTGGGTCACGATACTTTCAAACCATAGTATTTACTTGTACTAGTAATATACACTGTAATGGTTTTTAAAAATGTATAGTGCAAAAGAAAATATAAATAAAATTAATAAATAAAACAGATAAATGAAAATAGGAATAAATAAATCAATAAAATGACAATAAAAAAATAAATGACGCATTTATTCCCTCATTTCTTTAGTGAGCATTGCTGAAGATACAATGGTGACAGTACAATATATTTGCCAGATAAGCACAAACACTGTGAGCATAGAAATGCAGATAATACAGCAACGTGACGTCACTGGTAGACATCCAGGTCCCATTTCACACAGATTTAGACACATGGTAGTCTTAACTTATGGACCGAAAAAGTCAGATAAGTTTGTCGACTTATAAATCGGTAGTAGTAAGGTATTTGACCTTTTACGTTAAGTAACTTTTTTATTTTTGAATTTACCAAAAAAGTTTTTGATTAGGAGGAATTTGTACAGTAGCAGTAGGCCTACAATTTCTTGCACCACTATTCACTTTACAAACTACTTACGGAAGAGTTAGACAAGGCTAACGTATTTTAGGGTTCTAGTTGTTTTATTTCAGCCATCATACTACTGCAGCTTTATCCTGTCAAAAGAAAGTACAATAACAATACAAACAATGCTTAAAACTGAAACCACCATTTGACTTCTGTTCTGCTGTGAAACGGAACTCAGAATTTACCATATTTTTCTTCCCGGGATTTAATCTACTTACCGACATGTAAACCTTGGTAACAGATAAAAGATATGAGAGTAGGTGAATAGATGAAAAAAAATAATAAATACAATAAATAAATAAGCAAACAACAAGTGAATAAATATAATAATATAAAAATAAGATAAGAAAATAAACAACAATAAAAATAATTTTAACTAGATAACTTAAAATTAAAAAAAAAAAAAAAAAACAGTAAATAAAATAAAATCAAGATAAAAAACACACCATAAAGTATACCCTTCATCGTAAGTAAGAGTGTAGGCACTCAAGTGTGCAGTTGGAACCACAACAGTATTGAAAACAACAAAATTTAGAGGGAAGATGGACGCATTTGGTCATCTCGTCATAGGTAATCAGTAATATAAATATGGAATAATATAAAATAATATACCAGCTTAATTAGCCTTACACAGTACGTACATGTATAATGTCTATCTACTTTATTAGATTCTCTTAAGTAATCTACAGCTTTAGAACATTCCTGGTGTCGCCTAGAAGCTGGTGAGATAAAGAAAGATGCGGGAAAGCATGACTGACAGTACTGAAATGTAATACTATGACACTGTAGTAAATCACCCAGGGCGTTATGTACAGTGTGTGTTTCATTGTTTTTTTATGTCTCCCCATCATCTTTTCCTATGTAAGTATATACACAGTACTGGCAATTACCCTGAGTTATTCCGAGTCGTAGTTAACTTATCTTTTACTGTATCTCCATATGGGTGATCTATATCTCTCTAAATCTCCATGAAACCTATGGTTATGTACAGAACTCCCGGTATTTGGTGACATACAACTCTCTAATATCAGGGGGGGGAGGGGGGCTCTGAAAAAGTACACAAAATTAGAGTATAAGCGATACAATAGGCCTAATTCCCATACAATAATTTTGTAACATGCTTCGAGCGGACCCTGTGGCACGTACATGTACAGTAGGGAAAGATGCATCGAAACATAACACAAGTAACAAAGTTACCCCTGGACCCTTGGCTCACAAGAGCTGGAGGCAGCGACAAATGATGTTATTGATCCCGTAATTGCCTTGATCTGTCTGCAGGCAAATATTTGCTGCGGGCCTGGGTTCCAGTGAGAGATCAATACGTTATGCCAATGGTGAGTAAAAGTCGAGGAAGAGCTGCGAGAAATGTCTAAAATGGATCGCATTTTTTTTTTTTTTTTTTTTTTTTTTTTT